CCTCTTAAGTCACCAGTGACGCATCTTCCGATAAGAATCGAGTCGTCAACCCGAGACAAAGGCGATTCGGATAACGATCGAAGCTTCGATCGTCAAGGAACAAAGAACTGCGGATATATATATATATATATATATATATATATAGGGCCAACGGTCACGGCCGGACACTTCAAAGTCGTCTCTCGTAGAGCAAAGATCGAGCCCTTTTCCGCGTTCGCCGCTAAGATATATCGAGGCCGAGTCCTCGCGTTCGTGCGTTTGTGCGTACCGGAGACCGAGCTCTCCGCTAAGATATAGTATATCGAGGCAGAGTCCTCGCGTTCGTGAGTTCGTGCGTACCAGAGACCGAGCTCTCTGGTAAGATATATCGAGACCGAGTCCTCGCGTTCATGTAATCTTGAATAAACAATCATTAACAAACGAAACTAGTGTATGGACCTAAACTCCCACACACGCAACAATCAGTCTATCATTTTTACTCGAGAATACATCATCGAGGTGCTCTCGGAGTTTGGCGAACAGATTTCGACTACGACAGTGAGAAATGATTCGTCGAAACGATCGACCTGGCGAAACTTTCAAGTGAGAGATGATGTTTATATTTATTTATGAAGAGTTTTATCGATAGTTGCATCATTTATGAAGAGTTTTATTGATGGTTACACCGTTTGGAAGTACGTTGCAAACACCTGGTTAACTCTTTACAGACAATAACATTGTGCAAACACTTGGAAAACTACATATAATGGAAACGTTTGACATTGTATGCAGATTAAACGCAATTTGAGCACATGTAACCGTGAACACGTCATAAACTACTCCGTGTTTAAATTTATATCTCACAAACAATTAAATAAATGTTTTAAAACTCAAGTAAAACATTGACTCAACAACATTTAAACAAACTTCTTCTAAACATGTTATTTTCGACAGGTCGACGAGTCATTTCTCGCTGGGAAGAAAGACCCTTTTGTCGGGGGACGTTAATTGAAGAGGACTCCGTACCGATGCACGTTCCGCGGACTTGGATCTCCGCGCGTTCACCAGCCGAGTCGACGATCGTAAAGTAATCTACGTTTACGGCGAACGGCACGAACGGCCGATAGTACACTTTGCACTTGTACGCCTGGCCGGGAAGCAGGGACCACGAGTAGCCGCATAATTCGAACACGTGGTCCAGCGGATTGGTCGTCGCGTCTCTTCGGGCCTCGTAGAGCTGTTCGATCTGTATTATATGCAACTTAAGGTTACACACAGCTTCAACAGAGAATAATGTACTGTCTTTTTAAATTAAGACATCTTCATTATTTTTAAATGCGTCCTCTCGACTGACCGAAGCTTCATCGAGGTCGCTCCTAATTATTTTACGTAGACAAGAATTACTAACGCAACTCTCGTTGATTATCTCTAGCCATTTGACAGCCGTGGCGCCGATCTCTACCTCTCCGAACTCGACGTGGATTTTTCTACTCGCTTCGCAGCGCATTTTTTCTTTTAGCTTCCACTTAATTATCGAGCATATATGTATATCTCTCTCTTTCTCTCTCTCCTGCTCGCTCGCTCGCTCCGATCGCAGGATCTACCGTCGAATGGCGTCGAGGTCTCGATCGCGTGATCGATGTCTGTCCTCTCGAAGGCGGCAGGATCGATCGACCGGTCGGGGTCGGGGTCGGAAGACTCGGAAGTGTCGGGAGTCGGGACCAGTCGGGACGTCGGGACTACTCGGGACTTGTTTGGGCACCCGCCGGGGGGGACTGATGGGTGACGCATCTCGTGCTGGCGACATCGTGTCGTGCAGTCCGTGCCGCTGTGCTGTGGTGTGAGGTCCACGAAGATAATCTCACGTCGACGTTCCGCGCGGCGTCTCTCGTTATCGCCGCTCAGCGAGACCCGGCGCCGCCTCCGCCCCTTGCCGCGTCCTGTATGGCCCTGGTGACACCCAGCCTCTGCGCGGTCGCGACCCGAAGATGGCCCGGGACGCAGGCGTCGTCTACCTGCTGATCGTGATCGTGCACCTCTGCTCGTGCGCGCGTAATATCAATTACGTCAATTACAATGAGCGTAAGTTCCGAATCGACTAACAGGAAAGATTTTTCTCTATCTCTCTAGGCCTGGGCTGATCTACGTGAAGCAAGGAGCAAGAGTAAGCGTAGGAGGAACATAACCTGTACCTTATGGTGTCAGGGGGCTGAAGTATAGGCATAAGTTTTCAAATATTTGTAACGCGGGCCAACCGCGCTCCGACTCGCCGAAACTAACAATAAGATACAATACAACTATTGACAACTATAACGAAGTGTTGATTTCTGTGCACCACCTACAGCGCTTGGTTCTCAGGTAACCCGTTACCTGCCTTCTTTCTAACAATAAGAGTTGAGGTAGAAGTAAGAGGTAAAATTTCCTTGCTTCTACTCTCGCTCCCCACGTCCGGGCTTACTCAAGTGTTCTAGACCAGTCTTCTATATCTCTCTCTTTTTTTTCTCTCGCCACGTGTCGCGCTTAACCTCGCTTCCGCGTGTTCTCTCTTTCCACAGATCATCTCGAGAGCGAAAAGATTTGCCATATGTTGAACAAGGCGTCCACGACCGAACTGCGTAACGGCGTCGCGGCAATTGTCGCGCCGAATCATATGTTCGACCGTTGGGTCGTCACCGCCGACCGCTACTGCAAGTTCTTCTTCAGCACTGGCAGCAGCGAAGGCCTCTTCGTGGTTATTCAAAAGTTGTTTTTCCGCCGCGATGGCGATCGGTGTATCGATTACATACGGGTGAGTGGATAGAGACCATTACAATAGACGCTCGCAACATCAGATTCCTGATCGGGCCTTTCATTTAGTTCAAGAGAAGCGACGGTCATAGCACAAAGAGGTTCTGCGGGGAGATAGACCGCAGCCAGACCATGTACCTTCCGGTCCCCGAGCCCAAGGACCATTTAGACAGTGTGAGCGACAACTGGCTACGCAATTATGACATGTACGCGGAATACGATCCCGTTAAAAGGAAAACGAAATGGAAGGGGGACAACGCCGTGATAGAAACTGAAATATTTATCTCCAAGGAAAGAGTACCGGACGGACAATCCCTGGATCTTCTTATAAGTTACACCCCGTTCAAGAGTACGTAGCCACAGTGCATTTATGTCGAACGCAACAAACGTACGTATGGATTCTAGATTGTGTTGTCAATCTATTCGTAGGTTGCAATGATGCGAGTGCCGACTACAGGCCGGTCGGACTCAGCACTTGCATTCGGAAGGAATATCTGTGCGACAACATCTACAACTGCCCCTTCGGCATGTGCTCGGACGAGGTGAATTGCACGGTCAACGATCGATACCCCAAGGACGACACCGCCACGAAGGTCACTGTAGGTGCGGTCACCACCATGATCCTCTGCTTCATCGTCTTCGTCATGTGCCTGTGGATCTGCAAGAAGTCGCAAAAGCTGTGCTGGTCATCGGACTGCGCCGGCCCGAACGCGTGCTCGCGGCCGGTCTCCCTGCCGGACGCGGACGGAGGCGGTCAGGGATCCAATCGCGCGGTACCCACGGCCCCCATGCTGGAGGTCGTGGTGTCCTCGCCTGTCGCGGACAAGGATCTGCCGCCCAGTTACGACTCGTTGTTCCCCGAACAGAGTAATCCTGCCAGATCGTGAGTTGCTAATTCCGCGGGTACACCTAAACGTACCGTCTAATGTTTTAATTAGACGCTGCGTCGTCACGCACCCAATGATGTAAGTAGACCGATCCTCGCGCGCACACGGTTCTTTAAAGTGCGAGCAGGACTTTACTCTGAAAGAAAACGCTCTGATAAATTAAAGTTGCACGCATCAGTTTCGATTCTGTCTCGTATGATCAATAATTTTTTCTGGCTGGCAGCGTTGAAGCAGCTTCAGGAAGCTATTGATGCTACAGATAAATCAGTTACGACTGAGACGCGATACTGCTCTTTGTTCGTTCTTGGATGAATGGATGAAGAGAGTCTTGGTAATCAACGAAATTGTTGCGTGCATCAATTTTAATCATTTTGACCAAAGTAATTCCTCATAATTGAAGCACCACTGTTCATCCACCGTTCACATTCAGTTGCACCATTGCATGCACTTGCACGCAGTACTGTTGTATCGGCATTACATATTCGTTGTTTCTTTTTGTACATTAGTGAGTTGTGCAGCGGTAAATAGGTATCTCAGTTAAGTTTCTTTTGTCTCGCGTACGTATAGTTTTAAAGCTTTCGTTTCTTCGCTGCAACCTTACGGAATTATGACATGAGAAAAGGAAAATAGTGATTAATTTTTTTCTTGCAATGCCGAACTAAATTAGATTTTTCGTATGCTACTATTAGTATTCAATAGCATAGTGCAAGAAAAAAGTTCATTATTCCCACTTTTGACATAACTTACGGTTACAGTGAGAGAACAGGAGTGAAATGTGAATTTTTACGTTTTATATTACTTCCTAATACTTAAGAAATAATACCACGAGAATTTTGTTCGTCGGTAACGACAACGAAAATATAGAGGCCTTTAAACAGCTTTTCTATGTTTTCGATGAAATATTACAACTTTTCCGTATGAAAATAACAGTGCAGTATTTTTCTAAATATGTTAATTAAATTTAAACATCTCATCAACGTTACATCCTGGTTAGTTTCTCTTGTTTAAGTAAGAATCTTATTTGCGACAATATTTGATATAAGTCGCGGTCAAGTTGCCGCTACAAACGTTTCGAAGCGTTTCTTTTCTCCTTCTATTTTTACTGAAAAAAAGAAGGAGAATACTTCAAAACATTGAGGCGTCAGCAGCAATGATATCTTTATCTGGAAAACAAAAAGAATCTGATGAGATCTGTTGTGTTCATAGACAATCGTAATATGTGAACTCGTATTGTAGCATACTTAGCTACGCCTTACTTGAGCTTGCGCGAAATATGCGTATATAAATATATGTATATGTTTTATATATAAATATATAAAATAATTTTTGTACGCGTACACAGCATAATTTTATAAAATGTATACAAATACTAGACGTGTGCGTATATTTTTGGAGATGAAATATTACGTAAGTTTCTTTACAAAATGTATGTAATAAATCATGTAAATATTCAATTTGTGATAATAAAACTTTATGTATATATATATGAACACATGTAATGAAATGCTGCAGTTTATTTTTTCCCTCCGGATTCTTTAGACAAATGCTCCAAGAGCCATAGGCAATCGTTGATGATATGATCAATCTCAGCTGGCCCAGTTGACAACTGATGGTTGTCATCGTACACGTGCATCCTGTAACGTCAAATCTTTTAGTAACGACGCAAAACTCGTGTTTCCTCCGTGTTTAAACGCGAACGTCAGCTTACTTGGTTTTCACTTTGTTACTCTTGAGCCGGTTGTACCACATTGTTCCTTGAGAGCACGGCACTCGCAAATCCTTCGTTCCAATGTGAATCAAGGTCGGTGCCTTGACTTTATCGACAAGCGTGATGGGCGAGCATTTCCTCATTTTCACGAACATGTCTGTGTCTTCGGGCCAAGAACCGGTAACGATGTTGCAAGGAACACCTGCCTCCACGGCGCACCTGCAATGAAAAATTACACCACGTTAGTGTGAATAAATGCGACGCGAATGCAAACGTGTTTGTGTAAACCGTTATAAACGAATTCGTGTATATTTTATACAAAAATGAGACTATGCATTTCAGTCAAGCTTAGACTAGTCGCGACTATTGATACATTTGTACTGGTACACATAACGATTGAGCTTACACATTATGAAGATACGCTATTTGCTCTTCCTTAGTCAGAACATTGCGACTGAAATACAAACACGGGATATTGAATAATCAGAACGCGTGAGGAATATCGTTATTAGATTAAATATCTCTTTACCAGTCTGGAATGTCGGATATACCGAACATGGTAGAGATGTCGATCACCGGGTTTTTTGCAATTACTGCTTTAAACAGATCCTGAAACAAAGACAGTTTTACGTCGATGTTCAAATTAATGGACTGTTATACAAATTTGTCGTTTGACTCGCTTACTGGAGCTTGCCCGCTTAAATGTGCCACCAGGAATCCACCGTGAGAACCGCCGCAAAGACCTATGCGTTTAGAATCGAGCCAAGGATATTTTTTCAGCGCTTCCTGAGTAGCAGTTATGCAATCCTTCACATCCGCGTCCCCAACTTTCCCTTGAAGATACTCCACTGTCGCGCTGCCCATTCCCGTAGAACCACGATAGTTCACTTGCACTATCGCGAAACCTGAATTTGCGCGGATTAGCATAGTAATTTTTTTTTTAAATTATGTAAAGACAAAATTATGATCTATTACCTGCTGATACCAAGAAGGAAGACTCGAGAGAAAATGTATTTGCAAAAGCGCTATGAGGTCCTCCATGTGGTACAACTATAAAAGGTATCGATTGATTTTTGCCACTTTTTGGACCGAAATACATATAGTTGAATTGCTCTGGAAAGTGAAAAAAATAACATTAAAATAGTCTCATCAAAATAAATTTATGCGCGCAAACGATAACACGATTCACTTACTTATGTCGTCGTCGTTATCGTAATTATATTCATTGGGTTCATAGATAATTTCTTTGAAACCATCGATTTCCATTGGAGGTTTAACCGAAAGCCTGGGGATATTGCCATCGCTTGTCGCTTTAATCTGAAACTCGCCTACCACGAGGCTAGAAGGTTGCGTCAAAGAAGTGTTCAAAAAAGCAATTACATCCTCTTTTACGTCCAGTACAGAAAGACTGCTGGTGTCGTTATTTATCTCAGTAATATCTTTCGTTTCTGCAAAGACAATTTATTCTTTTAAACGGCGAGAAAATATACCGATGCGTTAAATCACAGCTCAGCTGACAAGGCTTTAGTATCTTACTTATATTCAAGATATACGAGACGATATTGTTCTTCTGAGGGGTACTGAAAAATAAGTATTGAGAACAACGACTCCAACAACGACGAGGTAGACGACCATATATCCCGTAAAACTCTTTGTTACGATTAATTAGTTTACTCGTTCGCACTGCTTCCACAAGCTCGATATTCTAGACGTAAAACGGAAATTTGAAACTCAAAATACTAAATGTACATCTGTCAATTATAATTAATCTAATAATATTACATCTTCCTCCACTCTCAAGTCCCGCAACACAAGCTTGTGCACATTGTGATGCGGAACGGGACCTGCCTCCCTCTGCAGCCACACGAGATAATTTCCATCCGGGCTGATCCTAGGACTGTGCACAGCACATCCTTCATCGGACAATTTCCCTGCGTAACGAAAAGTTATCATTAACTTGCTTTGTTCTTTTATACACATCTTCCCTGTTAATTATTTATATGTTCCTCACGATATTCTCCATTTTTCAATGAAAATATCCAAGAATATCTATTGGTGCACGCAGTAAGGCCCAAGTATAGTGGCTCGTGCATCCAAGCAACACCGATTACATCCTGATCTTTCGTCCAAATCACTTGACCGGGAGAGAGATCATCTGGTATTCCAGATAAAACTGTAATGGTGTCTGTCACCGTATCGAGGACAGCGACAACAGGCCGGTGTTTACCTACTAATTGCTCTCCCCAATGTGGTTTGTGGATATACTCATTGCCCTGCGTCAAGAAGAAAAATAAGACAAGATATCTACATATAAATAGAATTCTGTTATTTAAAGAAACAAGTAACGTTTACCATTGCTGCTTCGTCATCCTCCTTCTTCTCCTTGTCTTTCTTATCCAATGATTTTTGCTTGTAAAACGGCTCCGACTTGGGGAGTTTCTTCTCTGCTACATACAGAAGCTTCGTGTTATCCGGAGACCATTCGAACGAACGAAACTCAGCTGTAAAAGAAGCACACAATTAATAAGTTGGGAACATTAACAGTTCAAGGCAAAAAGTCGAAGCTTGTACCGTCCGTGTAAACGTCGCCGTGGACGTCCAGAGCCGACAGATCGTAATTCTTCATGAGATGCTGCTGATCCCATATTTCTATGAACTGCTTTGTGGTGTTATCAATCGTGGCTTGCCGTAGCACAGCCTTACGCAGTTCGTCCTTTGAAATGGCGGACAGCAACCTGTTTGAAACAGATACGTCTAAGCGCCGGTTTAAATTAAATATTCTGCGAGTGATGTTCAAACTGCGTACTCTGTGGTGATATCAACTGCAAATCCCGGAAAAACTTGAGAAGCTGGAAGCGTATTTAAACCATAAATCTGTAGGAAGCGCTGATCCGTCTTCCTCTCCAGATTCCTCTGCGTCCACGAGGCCTGTACGTAGAACCGGTCGCTCTTGCTACCTACGATCTGCGCGCTGCTTAAGGACGGATGCGCGGCTAACGACTTGTACAGGTTCACCAGTTCCTTCACCTGCAAAGATATTCTCTGTACTCGCAATCGCGCGTTGCTCCTCAACAGGAAAAGAAAATTGCTGCAAAGATCACTAACGCGGGAAACGTCACTTACTTGTCCCAGTGCCATTCTGACTCTTCTGCGTCACCTCTCAATATCCGCGTACGAGATACGGCAGCTAAATTCAAAGTCTACGACACGAGATCCCCGTTTATATACCGCACTGATAAAGAGCTTAGATGGCACAATTTATACCTTAATTTCAGATATCCCGTTATCTTTCTGCTACGGTGCGGTAACGAATAAAACGCTAAACGAAGGAAACCTCAAGTTGGAGCATATTGAACCGATTATAAAAAGCGACGAATTGTCGAACACATATCTCTCAGCTGTAACATCTCGGGCAAAAGGTTAGAGGGACGAATGGAATCTGGCGCTACATTGCCGGCGTCATGCTGTGTATGTACGTGTGTGCATTGTACATGCCACGTATATGTGCCATATACATTTGTATTGTACTTATTGTATGGATACACACGCGTAGGGGCAAGGTGAAGCCTGAAGTTTACCGAAAAACAATGCCCGACGTACCCTGCCGGAAATAATTCTACAAAATTTTACAAAACTATAAAATATAATTTTCAGAAGCTAAGAAATTCAAGAAAACACAAATTTTCCAACTGTATAGAATTGGAACACTTTTGTTAATTTTTGTAATATTCTACAAGTAAGCAGATGTTTTAATTTTTTAAGATTTTGTTGTTTCTCAAATTTTTAAAACTTGTAAAGTTTTGTACTAATTTTTACAAAATTGTACATTTTCATGAAATACTTGCAATAATTTCTTGATTTGAATATTGTAATTTGTGGTACTATTTCGTAGATATTAAAAAAAAATTCATGTTTCAACGAATATATAAAAATTTCTACAAATTTCTATTTCAATTCAATTTTTGTCGTTATTTATAGAAATATTTTCCACAAGGGTATCTTCCTTTCTTTTCCGTATCTTCTATTTCGATTTGTAAAACAGGCATAATTTACATCCCGCACGCGTACATTGTGTATCTTTGTTGGTCATTTAAATATGTTAACTGATACATACTATTAAAATACAATTGTGTTCTCCTTGAAGGCACTTTTTGATTTATTAATTTGGAAACTAAAACTGAAATGACACATGACTTTTTTCTTCCTCTGACTTTATGCGAATTCTGAAATATGTATATATTAAAATACAAATATTCTCTCTGAACGCACGTTTTTAAAATAGAAACTAAAACTGAAACAACATGACTTTTATTCTTTTTTTTATCTCTTTGCATTTGTACTCTGAAATATACGTATATTAAAATACAAAAATGTTTTCTTCAAATGCATATTTTAAGTTTACAATTTGCAAGCTACAAATAAATAAAATAACATGATTTTTTATCTCTGCATTTGAGCTCTGAAATATATTATTATTTCACATGCATACGCAGAATAAATTTTAATAACATGTAAAATAAAGTAAAGAACTAAATAAATACTACACAAGCTTCTTCCTATTTTCATTTTGAGCTAAAAAAATTAATGTAATATTTTATTAAGTTTTTATGTGTAAGAGAATATTTTCCTGACCCCAAAAACACTTATATTAACAATGACAACACGATGCAGTTTTCATAATTTTAATATAACTCCATCATAAATCAGCTTACTGATTTATCAGTAATCTAATAAATTAGTAAGCTGTAGGAATTAATCAGATACATAAGCTTGACGCATCAAAATAAATCTATTTACAATCTATAGCTTACACAGTTTTTTACAATAGATGTCTTGTGATTTACTAATACTATTATATACAGAATGTGTCTCTAAACAAGTGATGTATAATATAATATAAATATAATAAAAATTGAAATACAATATTTCTTAATGCAAATGCAATAATAAAAAATTCTGATAAATTATTGTTACGATCTTGTTATAAGAAAGAAATAGAAATTGTGCTATTGGCGCTAGGCAGGCAGGAATCATATACCTGTTGCAATTATAAAATTTTGTACTCATTATCTTAGATATTTTAAATAAAAAACAAAAGATTAAAGACGAAGATTAAAATAATAGCACGCGATTAAAGAACGCTGTAAACATTACAATATATTCTGGACACATTCATAATCTTTTAGCCTAAAATTCGAGGATCTAAAAGGTTTTCTTGTTACCTGTGTAGTGGTTTCACACTTATCGCGGCCCACTTATCGGCGGAATACACAAGAGTTATCTTTTTATCAGTCCAAGTCTAAACCATCTGTTGGAAATACAAATAGAATAAAATGCAAATCAAAGTAGTTACAGCGTGAATCCGCCGCCAATAAATTTCTACGCGTTTGTGCCGTACAAATCGAGTGATTCAATTTTTTTAATTAAACGAACAACACGCCTAGATATAGCTATTGGTTCGACATACATTCGCACCAGCCGCACAAATATACAACATATCTACACGCATATTTCTCTTACGTTATACGTACAATAGTACCGTGCGTGTCGTTTAATGCGACAAAGAATTCTTACTTAATGAAGAGAAAATAAGACCCTACAAAATAATCATAATTATAATAATAAACCTTAAGATACATTCGCCGACATACGTTAAGCCCTATCGAAGGCTCAGCAGTCACTAATGTCGTCCTTTCTTAAATAATGTAAAGTCGATATCAATTCCGTTCTCAGTCTACTCATCACATTCGATAACGTTCGAAGTTGAAAACTTTCGATTCGACAGTCGTGTGATCTGTGATAAAAAAGCAGGCCAACTATTTTATTATATTGACTGTTCTAAACCTCATTGCAATTCATCCTTGAACATCAACATTTGTGTTAAACAACATTTTACGCAATTAATCGTGCTCTTCAACGTTTGTTAAACATTTTACAACGAGATATCGTTATTAAAATTGCTATTGAAACAGCAAGTAGAAGTCTAGTTTGCGCGCTGTCCAACGTTAAAATATATCCCTATAGGATAGATATGTGTTAGATATCAACCGCTTTCGATAATGTCCGATTTTCCGTGTAAAATTCACGTATGCACGATCGTGTGTTACTTTTTTCCGTGTAACAGTGTGTTCCAAGTACAATAACCGCTATTACAATATAGCGTTAAATCGCGATGCACGTGCAGTAAGTAACTAATAAATATAAAATTAAAAAATTGGACTACGGTCCAAGAAAATGAATTTTACTTTTGCTATTGCCGCTTATAATGAAATCCGCAGATCGGACGTCAGCGTTTACTGCATATTCGACAACGAAACTGCAAAAATTCTACGTAGTCTTCAAATTGGCAATCGAAAGAGTTAATATTTCGCTGAATTTTTAAATTTTGATATCGTTTATACGTGCGGCAATGCAAGGATAGAGACGGCGGGTGTAAAATTCTTCTTTCGCGCGTTAACAGCACAGGAAATTATACCGCGGGTTAAATTCTCGCTTCGAATTCTTCTGACAACTGCCATCGCGATCGAACCGCGATTTCACCTCGGAGCGCACTTAAATGGTTTATAGAGTCGCTCGTTGGCGTCGGATATCGCTTCGGCGGCTGCGAGCATCGGAAATAAACCTAAACGACCCAAGACAATCCGTCTTTGCATTCCAACGAGCGAATCGGCCGCTTTCGCTCTCCCGTGATTTTCGCAATTATTTGCCGAAGATCGCGGCTCTCTGCCGGAATTGCTCTCGTCTCGCTGCCTTTTCTTCCTCCTCCCGTTTCCGCTCCTCCTGCTCCATACGAATCTCGTCCTCGAACTTGGAGGACTTCCGCAGCTGCTCGATCTACGAAAAAGACAAAAGAAAAATAAACGAAATGTAACTTACTCGAGTTACGCTTTTACGTCTGTATTTTTTTCTTCAGCGCGTACGATATGCTGAGGAAGCTCTCTGGGCCACGTGTCACTCAGGATTGTGTGTGCGTAAATAGGAAATGCGTATTGCGATAACAGCCTTGACAAGATTTGATAAAAAACTATATTTTTTTAGGTATTGGCTGTGAGACCAATAGTTACTAATTTTTTTACAGTAACGAAGAACGAAACAACAGGTTCTTTTTTAATTTTATCTATTATTGCTTGTATATTCTTATACAAGCAATTATTCTTATATTTTAAATAATCTAAATATATAGACAGTACATAGTTACGTAAAAATATAACACAGCTTCTAAAAGAATAGCACTAGTCGTTATCAATTTTTTAAGAAATTCCGATTTCGGAGTTTTGGACCGATTAATACGAAAGTGAGGCTTAAACGTTTGAGAAATGTATTGAAAAAAAAAAACCAAGAAAGATTCGTTTTCACGAGAACAGACCGAGTGTGAAAATATACCTTGGCCTCGAAGAAGTTCTTAGCGCCTGTAACACCGACCTCGTCGACATCGACCTCGGTGAGTCTGGCCAGCTGGCTCAATCCGGAATCCTGTTCTAATTCGCCGGCCCGTGCTTTACGATAAATCAGCAGGAACTGCAACAAAATGTAATTGTAATTACACTGAACAAGTAAATCGTAGTTGCAATATGGTGAACTTCGCCAGACTGGACCTCTGACTTTCAATTAATTTTCTAGCTGCTTCTTTCGAAAATAGAATTATCGACAAAGAATCATAACCTGATTCAATTATTATTTTTGAGATGACAGCTATCCGAACACAGTCATACTTGTACAGAACAATTTTTTGCATAAAATACACAAATGTTTCATCTGAAAATTAAAGAATAATTAAATAAACGAAAACATTCCACTTTAGTTATTGCTTGGTCCCTTCACATTTCGATAACGGAATTGTCGTTTCCGCTAAGAAGACTTCAGGTAACAGATAAAAAAAAGGCAGCCAGGTAATTCGTCAAATAAATGAATCGTACGATTAATCGCGATCCGCGAATCGCGACATTTATGAATGTAAGGCGTGACGAAAGGCAAGGGGGTACGTGTCGCGAACGTTTTACGGTAATTCATATCTTGATGAGTAAGAGGAAGGTGAGTAAGCCGGGCAATAAACTACTCGGGTATCGCGCAATGAATCACGGCGGCGAACGACGAGCGGGGCGAATCGTGCGTGCACACATCGCGTATGCAGGGTCGATTCGCGTGGCGGGCTTTGTTCGCGAAATACGGAATGTCACGTCCGATTGTATGCACGCGCGTGCATTACGTACCGATTGCAAGTCGAATTCTCCTTCGGGTGGCACGTGACGCCCGTGCACCCGCGATTTTACTCGCGGCCGTATCGCGCGGTAGTTACGTTAACAGCGAAAGTTTCTGCCGCGGCGTTTCGCACGCTCCGGTGTTCCGCGGGCGTGTTGCAAAACCGTCGGTTCTCCACGATCGATTCCGCCGCGCAATATCGTCAATTGCCAGGACGACGATTGCGAGCTTCATGGAACATTTTTAGAAAAGATCGCGAGTCCAGCATTTGGTGGACGATATCGCGCATCGTATCGATAATTTTTTCGCGGCTGCGTTTTTCTTACATGTACAGGAAAGTCCCCCTATTATAAGATAGTTTCCTAATATAAGATAGCGGAGTTTATGCCAAATTAATAGGCATCTTCTGTTGGTTCCACCATGAATTAATTACCCTCGGAGTGAAGTCTATTTAGTGGAAACTTGATCGTGTAATCGTTGCGAAAAAAGATTTGTCATTAAGTTTGGGCGTTGAAAACCCACCATCTCATATTAAAGGACTTTCCTCTAATATTTCAATTATAAATTTCAATTAGACGTTAACTTTGGGAGCATCGCTAAACTGACAAATATCCAAAATGAAAAGTATAATTTATACAATTTAACTCTTTCTTATACAAGTTACACACTTTACCTGTTGACGTTGTATAACAATAAAGGCACAACTCGAAATAATGTTTCTAGCGTGAAATTTGTTTTCAGGAAAATGCTTTTAGTTTTGCACATTTCTTTTTTTGTAGCACAGGCAGTCTTTCGACGGTTTTTAAAATACTTGATCGTAGGTGACCGAAATAGAACTACTTCAACGTATCCTTTCTCACGTACAGCTATGCTTGGAGAGTAAACACGATCGTATACCCAGCGAGTGATACGTACACGCCTATTAAACATTGCATGGGGTCTGCTATTTTTACAAATAATATATCACCATACGTTTGCCGTAAATAAAATCTAACAAAATTGCCTTTTTAAAAAAAGGTACAAAAAAGGCCAAGTATACGCGTAGAAAGAACAAATATATAATTAACAAAATTTTGGTTAAAATGTACTCAAACCTACCTTCTCTACAAAAGGAATGATATAAACAATTGCACCAACTATAAAAATCGTGTTAAAATGTTATGTCCAGTGATTATAGAAAATACCATTTTATATAGCAAAAGTTTTCAGCGTATTGTTTTACATACCAATATTAGATGCATATTATACGTTTGCCGTAAATAAAATCTGCGAATCTAATCGAAAATGATATTTTTCACTCTATTAAGATGAAAAGAATAAACATAGAATACAAAATTTGGCGAAGATTTAAGTACTGTTTAAAAATTAAGTGAGCATCTAACAAAAGCTTGAAATCTTATATGACAATTAATATATCTGCTCTAATTGTTTGAATTATCTATGTATCTACACTTGTTCAAGTTCCTACGAAATAAAACGAATGTTCCGCGAATAAAAATTGGCAAACGTTAAAATTAGGAGGCGCGCGTTTGCAACGCCTCTCGAAATCGTGCAAGGCGCACGTGTTTCTCGACGGGCGAAACTCTCCCGCACAAGCTCTGCACGCGGTGAAATCTATTTCGGTTCAATACTTTTAACCGACCACAAGCGGAGTTGCGAGAAACGCTAATGCTGGTCAGGGTGGCGGCCGTACAGACGTTATGTTTGCGCCGACCACATTTGGAGCCTCTGATGGTGCGGAGTTTGCTAACCTAACGTTTCCAAATCATTTGTCTATTTTCAAAATCCCATCTTTAAATCTTTGAAGTTTCGACGGAAATAAATTCAAAGACTCTCCGATGAATTATTATAAAAGTTTTAATGAAAATAATACGTAAAAGCAATGGATATTTGTATTTCTTCTCTCGCAAAGAATTAATTTCTGTTCATTAATATACCCGCAAACATCGTTACCATTGTTATCAGCTTATTGAATCCATTACAATATCATTACTGCGGATTAGTACAGAATGTTTATGTCATGTTCTTCCTGGCATTAACATAAACAAACTGATTATGATAATGGATTTTATACATTAGCAGGACTCCTTTTATTTCTTCCAAAAACGAGAAGAACGATTCGCACATTATCGCTGCATTCAGCAGTCATTTATATTGTTTGTCAGCGTGAAATGTTAGAGGTCTCTCGCGAGATCGGTAAAAATAAACCAACCTCACGGAAAGATATGCGACCGTCGCCATCCTCGTCGACCTCCTGGATCATCGCCTTGAGTCCGAGATGCGTTTGCGGTGCACCCAAAACTTCCATCATTCGCTTCAGTTCGGAAAGATCGAGATAGCCGTCGTGACCATCGTCGAACCTGCAACGAGCATTGACGAATACAATTAGCAAAGTTTTGTCGTGTTGCTTTTCCTCTCGAACTTCTTAAAATCTCCCTTTCCTCAAGTTTTCAGTCAATAAGCTTACGAAGCTGACGCACCCTCAGAAAGGATTTCTGTTACTGAGACAAAAAATATTCTCGACGCATTTATATTTCTCACAACCTCATTTACTATAAAACTAAGACAATATCAAAATAAAATCAATAATTCTTATTCTCCTCTATCGAATTAAAAAAGATTGACTTACTAGGTATATTGAGACGAGAGTAACTTTATATATTCTTGCGTTTAGAATGAATTTTCCGTCCATCTTACAACGCACGAAGTTGGCACCACGATATTCGACAAAAGATGATACATACATAATTTTATTCTAGATTTTAGAATTTTTCGTTTAAGATTAAAATATTCCTTTCTCTATAATAAATACGATTGTCGCTATATCGATCCTATTTTATGATACATTGAAGTGTAATAGCATTGAATCCGGAAATTTTTTCTGTGGCTGCGAAATACAAAAGTATTCTGGAAATAAAGCGCGAGGTTTTAGAATCTTATTTCTTGTCCGATACTTCGAAATGATTTCATTTTGTATTAAAATATGTTTTCCATCCTGAGTTTCTCGGGCATAATTGACGGAGTATTTGGCATTGAAAATTACTTGAGGATAAAATTATCGATCCAAGATACGATAGGATACTCGCATTAATACGGTAAAGTGTAAATCTGTTCTGCTGACTGGCGAATATCTTGCCACGACCTCCTTTCGCTGCGTGAAGTGGCATTTTTCAACGATTGACCTGCCAATAAATCATCGCGGTGACGGTAGTCAATGAGACACCGAGCTACGTGTCGCACGCGTGCAGTCGCCTCTGGTTAATCAGTTAATCACAATACTGCGCGCGATTTAATCGCCGGTCATTGAATGCGTTTGCACGAAGAAACAGGGAAGAAAAATTTAGGGCAATGTCGTTATTGTCGAACGAGGCACGATTATTTAAACGAATCTCTGCCGGAAAAGTCGGTAGAGATTGCTTCAATCGTTGCCGTAACAGTCTTTCTATTTCACAGAATTCGAAGAAGTGTTACGATGAAATAGAAAATGGCACAAGTTTTATCCAAGTTTCTTCTATCTCTGTGACTCAATGATTCCGCGCAATAAATAATAAAGGCGTGACGTGGATTAAAGGTGGAAGCTTACATGCAACTGTAAATGGCAAGAGATAAGCTCACGTAAAAAAAATGGTACAAATTAACATTTTATTCAATACAGAAGTAATTTATCTAATTTTTTTATAATGTAAACTAAAAAATGATATAATTAAGGAACCCAAGAAAAGTTTAGTGAAATTAAGTTGACGTCGTATTTTAAAGGCACTCGATTAAAGAATTTTAAGATATAATTATTCGCAATGATGCCTGCAAATATGATGTTTTATTCGTTGGCAAATTAGTTTAGCTTACAATGTCTTTTGTCAGTATAAGGTACGATTTAGAAAAAGAAATTGATTTAACTGAAATAACGATTTTAATTGGGGAAATCTGTCTCTCGACTCGGTTTTTCTTCGACAGTCAAACATAGAGATTGTCTTAAACTCGGCTGTCATTAACATTCGCAACTTTCTTCGCATTTATTACAGAGGCCGACGTCTCGTTGGCCGCAATGTAAAAGGCAGTACATTTAATAACTAGAACGTCTCTTGTAGAAAGCGGACAGAACAGGTTGACCAAGATTCTTTATCTGTAGAAAAATTTACATTTTCCTTACACGTTACCTTAGCCATTTAGCTGCCGATTCACCTGCCGATTCGACACACGCCGCCTTCTTTCTTCTCCAGACTTTTCGTACGCGGCTGCGTACGTCGCGCCGCAAAAAAATTCAGTCCGGAATAACCACGTGTCGGCTGGCATTTTAAATTATTACGCGTTGTATAGCGCCGTAATCGTAAATGCAAGGAACGATTTATTCCTACGACGCTTTCCCCCCGACGTAATCATTGGGGTAACTGTTTGACATTATTAGTCTCGCTCTTTAGTTGCGCAAAAAGTTGAAAAAAATGTGGGCGTGTGTACGAGCTAAAGGTTAAGTGGATCACGTCCCCGGTTGTTGTTAGAAACAACGAGCCGCGCAATTTTATCTGCAATCGGCGAGAAATGTCCTGTAATCTATGCAGCTCTCGCATGCACCGTGAGACAAAATCAATACGTGTCTGACCGAAATTATCAAATTAACGAATATGATATGCGCTTACATCATTAATTAAATGTTAAATTAGTTCTAGCCCCAAAATGAATTCAAGCGCGGAATTAAAATAAAAAATACATCTATTATTCATTCGTTATTATCATACATGATATTGTTCTGTTATTCATTCACCATTCACAGTTGCGATAAATATAGAATAATTAAAATATATTTAAACAAATAAAATTATACGGAAGATTTATTTCATTTTAGCGGCGCAGATTTTGCTCGGAGAACGTAATTGTTTCGCGAAGCATTCGCGAAGGAGCGACAGGGCTGGACGCAGACGAAAGGAAGTGTGAGAACCCCTTGTGTCTGCCTATATCAATCAGTCTGTATGTTTTAATTATCGGGGAGTGTTTAGACGTGACGAGAGTGAAAACGATCGGGGGGAAAACGTGGGAACGATTGTCGATATTCAAATTCGCGCGAGTCTCTCGGAGCAGGATGTCAATCTTACGTGCCGGTAATTTTCCGCTAGCGGAAATTCGTGAAATCGCAACTTTCTGTGAACGGGATGGAAAACGTCGTAGCTGGGGCACGTCGAATGTTCGATGTTTTATCGAAGCGCGCAGAATCGAATCGTTTATTCTTGTCGCACAGCCGAATCGCTCGAGGGTCTCTGCTGGGCATAAAAAATTTAAGCACTAGCGTACGAAACATTAATAGAGACGCTTGATAAGATCTTAATCTCCCGGTGACTAATGGCGGATAACTAGATATTTATTTAAGCTGAGCTAGAGATCGAAAACGATGATAACTTTCGCGAACTAAAATCACCGATGGAATCTAAAACGGTGTAAAATGCCGAGCCGCGATTGGCGTAGTCCGTATGTCGTGTCGTAAATCGATAGAGAGCGATCATTTGATATTATATAATCGGCCTATATTGTATATGACGAGACGTAACTATCGCGGGTTAAAGACCACTTGCACGGCGAACCGGTTCTCATAACCACCGTGATTAACGAGCTCCCATAAAAATCAACGTGGCCTGCATAGAAAAAGCGTATCGTTTAAGCCAGTTCAGCAAGCGGAGTTGTAATTCGCAACATTTTTATCTTCTCAGCCTTGGGCTTGACAATCGCGAAATTTGTCACGTCGCTGTACCAGCCACTTACTGTATTTGCCAGGATATCCGCATACTTTTATCATAATCCTAATTAAGCAGGACGTTGAAAGATCGTCCCGCCGACATTTTCGAAGTTCGTTAGAGTGTAGAAGAGCGGGACGTTAAAGGAAATTGCTTCCGCATTAGTTAACGACGTTACTGCGAGGCGCCGGAAATTGAAGCGATGTAGGCGGGAAGGCACCTGGACGGTAAATCCTTTCAATCAGGAGGAATTGTAATTAGTCTGCTGGAAAGGTCAATATTTTGCCAGGATCGCGCTGTTTCGGGCAATTAAACGTTCTCGAACAAGTATCTATCGCGTTCATTAGCTTTATGAATATATGCATACTGCACGCTGGATCATAATGTAACTGTTATTGCAAACGTTACGGCCGTTGTAACGTGTAACAGTTAATTTCAGCGTTATTGTATGACGCTCCTCATTGCCAACATTAGATTGAGAGACATTGTAGCGAATCGCGATTGAAACGTTTCTAATTTTCTCTTTGCCATTATCAGAGGCAATTATGCAGATATTAATAGAGAAATTTATATCATAATAATTTGATTGAAGCCGCTCTTCTTTTACTCCGCTTTTACAAGCGTTTAGTATCAACAAGTAGTCCCTTTCGCTCTCTCGCGCTCCTTTTTCCTCCTTTCTTTAGAAGTTCAGAGAGATTTCACGGTGGCGAGGTTCTCGAGCGAGTTCGAGAGGCGAGTTCGCGAGGCGAAGGTCGAGGTTGCATTTTTATAAGCACAGTAAAGCGAGATCGATAAAAGTGGCAGACTGAGAAAGATGAAAGTGGTACTTAGATACGTGGGAAGAGTACTATTAAAATTAACACTCTGCTATATATGGAATATATTTAATAACGTTCTCGTCTCCTTTTTAATCGACAAACGCTGCTCGACGACGCATCAATATCTGCCAATTTAATGCTTAAAATCAATAGTGCGCGTTGAATAATAAATTCTTCAAGAAATATTATCAAAATAGATTCATAAACGCACGTTGCTCTTCGTGATTTTATTTTCGAACGAGAGCCGAGAATACTACGCGCTATTTTCGACTGCGAATGTCATCGTTGCATCACTTTATTATGAACGACTCGGTGCAGATCGTCGCTCTCGGTTTTATCAAGATCGCTCCGTCGGGCAGTTTTAATCGGTCAAGTGAAACGCGCTCCAATCAACGTGGATTGTGCGCGGGGCGCCCACGTAAATGCAACGCGATCGTTACCACGTTAAATGTGTCACGGATTTGGATTGACTTTGCGAAAGCTTAATTAAAAGCTCCGCGCCACGAGGGTAAATAGTTGAAAATTTTAACGAATTTATCTCTCGTTATCTCTCATCAGTTTTACAGAGTCAAACATAGTTTAATCCCTGACATAGTTTACATGTGGTACACATGTTTCTACGTCGTATAGTTCGCCTCGCGCGTTATCAGCGCGCTGATATCATCCTAAAAGGGAGAACTTTACTTTTTTATTATAATATTTAAATTACCACTACTGTGCGAAGAGAAGGGGACGCTCTATTCATGAATTTTCATGCGCAATTCACGATTCAAAGAATTTCTGCGTAACGCCGGGAAAGCGGTGCTTCCAGCCGCCTTTTCC